ACAAGATCCGGGTCAATTAATTCTAACACCCTAGCATGATTGTGTTGCATTTTATGGGAGTGTTTTTGCGTTTCATAGATTTTAAGCAAAATGAACTTTCACTGCCCAGAATACCAGCAGATGGCGCCCAGGAAACCTCATAGGCAAAATAAGACTCTCCTGTTTAAAAAAAAAAAAAAAAAAAAAAACCAACAACAAACAAATCTGTATTCACATCCTTAATAGAAAATAATCAAATGATTGTTTTAATTGACACTATTGAAGGAAAAAAATAATCTGATATCTTGAACCCAAGTGTTTGGAATCTTCTGGGACATATAATTGCCTTTTCTCTTTTCACTTTACTGTCATTTCTGCCACCAAGAAATTTTCTTTTATTTTGGGGTATAACAATTCACAGAAAACCTGACTAAAAAGTCTTACTGGGAAATTGAAGAGATAAAATCTCCTAATGCAGAAGTGAAAGGGAGGGGAGTTGCCATCATAGAAATGAAATAAATTTTTAAAATACCTGTGGTCTGAAGTACTAATCTCATTGTTGTCTTTTTGTGGCCTCTTTATATAATTGACCAGAAGTCTACAACAAGGTGAAAGTGTATCTGTTCATTCAATGTTACTGTTCCGTAGTAAGAACAAGCTAAAGTTACTATAGCTAAGCTAAACCGAATGAATGGTATGGACACCTGTGCTCTGATTTAGGGCAAGGAGCATGAGACCATTGTGAACCTCTGGATTCCGTGACAGGCTCAGAACATGAACTGTGATCCTCTAGGCTAATCCACATACACACACACCCACAACCACAAAGGTCTCCACACACTCTGAGGAGTTCAGCTTCATCACATTGTGGAAATCAGAGGTCAGTGCTCCAAAGCAGGTGCTCATTCTTAACTTTTAAAAAATATCTTTTTCTTTTCTTTTCTTTTTGCTTGTTTTATTTTTTTGTTTTTCTTTTGTCTAGCCCAGGTTTCTCTGTGTTTCCTGGCTGTCCTGCAACTCACTCTGTAGACCAGGCTGGCCCCAAACTCAGAGATTCACCTGCATCTCCCTCCCAAGTGCTGGGATGAAAGGTGTGCACCACCAATGCCAGGATTGAAAAATATCTTTATAGTTAACTTATTTTTTAATATGTGCATTATATATCTGTACACTACATATGTTCTTCATGCCAACAGAGACCTAGGTATTGTAGCCCACGTAATTCAAGTTACAGATGGTTGTGAGCTGCTTTATAGGTGCTGGGAACCAAACCCAGGTCCTCTGTAAGAACAGCAAGTGCTCTTAACCACTGAGCCATCTTTCCAGCCCATAAGTGAATTTTTATTAAAGTACAGTATATATATACTGTTTGTGCTTGTCAGCGTGATGTGAAACCATTTATGTTTTGGGGTTGATTTAATTTTCATTTTCTCCTTTAACTATAATCTTTTCTTAGGTGTGCTGATGTCAGTGAACTATGAGCTTTCAGAACTTCTGGAGAGAATACAAAGTTCTGCTTGTTATGGTTCCTTTAATTGGATTCATACATTTGGGGTGGTACAAAATCAAAAGCAGCCCTGTCTTCCAAATTCCTAAGGACGAAAGCACTGAGCCAGATAGTCTCGCACTTGCAAGTCCACCAAAGAGCCAAACCTAGGAGATGTAGCAGGCTTGCGGTTTTCAGGTAAGTTCCAGCCACTAAATCTGGTCAACCATGGGAAGAAAACCCTAAATTGAAAAATTACTGTTGGTTTTTCGAGAGAGTTTTTTTTCTGGGTAGCTATGGCTGTCCTAGAACTTGCTCTGTAGACCAGGCTGTCCTCCAACTCACAGAGACCTGCTGCCTCTGCCTCCTGAGTGCTAGGATTAAAGGCATACGCCACCACTGCCCTGCTGAAAAGTTACTGTTTTAAAGATGTGTCCAAATAGCCCATTATTTTTTAAGACAGAAAAAGGTGTATTTGTAGTTCAAAATAATTTTCTCTGAGTAGAAATCACTGAATTCAGGAGGATGTGGTTATATAGTTCAAATTTATAATCCTTCAGCCATTCAAAATCTGAAAAGTTTTAAAAAGCAAAAACATTTGTCAAACTCTTTTAGCAGAAAAGCTTGATTTTAACTGATAAAAGGAATTAGAAGTATTTCTTCCACTTAATACTAAACTTTAGGTTCTCTGCACAAATGCCTTTTGTTATGAGGCTTGTGTTGACAGTGGTCTGCACTAACTTTTATTACGTGTTTGCACAGACCAGGAAATTCTAAAGTATTAAACTCTGTTCTCAAGTGCTCTGTGTGAAGAAGTCTGGTCCTATAATCATCTCAGTCAAGCCCCAGTGGAGCCTGAAACTCAGAGCAATCCTCCTGCCTCAGCCTCCCAACTGTAATTAGGTATGAACTATCATGTCAATGCATTTTTTTTTTTTCTAGTAGGCCTTTTTTCACCTGGAGCTGAGAAATGTGCTATAAATTCAGACATAAGATCAGTGCTTTTAGAAGAACCTGAGGGGAGATTTACTCATTTAAAGAGGACTAATGTCCTAGTGTGCAGTTTAAAAAAGAAAAAGAAAAAAAAAAAAAAGAGATCATATTGCTACCTATTATCTCAGAAGTCTGGATTCAGAGGCAGTAGAATCAGAAGTTGAGGTAAGCCTAGCTGCATAGTAAGACTCTACCTCAACAATAGCAACAAAAGATGTATTTTAAATCAATATTTTATTTTTAAGTGTTTATAAGAAGGAAAAAGAATGATTTAAGATATTAGATAAATTTTTGATATACAAAGTTGGGTAATAAAATATTAGAATCTTGACAACTTAAAATATTAGCCTTATGGATAGTCTTTCTGTTATAAAATTTGTATGCATTTAAAAGGATGTCTGTGTGTACCTACAGAGGCCAGAAGAAAGTGACAGAACTCTTGGAACTGAAATTACTGGTAACTTTGAACCACCAACATTGGTGCTGGGAACCGAACTTGGGTCCTCTGAAAAGGGCAACCAGACCTCTTAGCCTGTTTCTATGCAGAAAGATTTTTAATGGATAAAAAAAGATAGTTAGATTTATTAGATGCTTGGTGTTTATAAGTTCTTTCAGATTGGTATAAGACCATTATAGTGTATATATATATGTAGTACTTGATTTTGTCACCAGGTATAGTCAGACATCAAGAGGAAAAAATTTTTTTCCTTGGTCAAAAATGAAATACTGAAGCTGAGAAAAGAAAGTATTTCCTAAAATATTATGCAAATTTAGTATACCAATAGGCCTAGATGGTTTTAGAGGGCAGGGTGTGGTAGCCCACACCTGTAATCCTAGGATTTAGAAGAGGAGACTAAGGCAGGAGGATTGCAAGTTAACATTTTACTTCCTGCTGCCCATAAACATAAAGGCTCTGCTGAGCTGTGTAAACACTGAAAAACAACACATACTTTGTATACTAACACAGTTGTTTTGCAGATTGATTCAACTAAAGGTAGACTATGCTAATGAGTTTCTACAGTAGGGATACTAAGAACCACTGACTTAGTTTCTTTTCCTGTTGCTTTAACAAAATATCCTGACAAACTTAAGGGGGAAAGGATTTTGTTTTGTTTTTTGCTTACAATTCCAAGTTAGATTTCTTTGTTGTGGGGAAGCCATGGTGGCAGGAACTTGAAGTGGCTAGTCTCATATCCACAGTCAAGAACATGGAGCACGGAATACAAGCCCGTGCTCCACTTATGCTCTCTCTATATCCATAGTCTAGAATCCTCTCTGTAGGGAGTGGTACCCCCACAGTGTGCAGGTCTTTCACTAACTGAGAAATTGCCCTCATTGAGTTTCTTGTCCCATTGATTCTGGATTACATCAGTTAAAACTAACCATCATAACTATCTTGGCTGTTGTGTTATTTTATAAACAGGATTTGATCTAAATGCATTCCTGTTTAAGCGTAGTTTCAAAGCAAAACAAAATGATTTTTTTTAAAGTTACACTAAATTAAAAAATAAGAACATCTGGAGGTAGTTTGTTTTACGGTCCTGTCTTAAGTTATCAGTTAGAGATAGCTTCTGGGTTAGGGATGGGAGCTTGTGTCTGCTTCCCCTCTTAGTGCTAGGACCCCATTTACTTTGGACCTGCACAGGCCCTGTGCAAATTGCCACAGCTGCTGTGAGTTTATGTGTGTGCTAATCCTGCTATGTCTGGAAGACAGTTTCCTTGAAATCATCCATGACTCCTGGCTCTTACAATCTTTTTTATGTATGAGTGTTATATCTACATGCCAGAAAAGGGCATCAAATTTCAGAATAGGTGGTTGTGAGCCATGTTGCTGGGAATTGAACTCAGGACCTCTGGAAGAGCAGATAGTGCTCTTAGCTGATGAGCCATCTCTCCAGCCCCTCTTACAGTCTTTCTACCTCCCCTTCCACATGGTTCCCTGAATCCTAAGGGGGGAGGCATTTGATGAAGATGCCCAATTTGGAACTGAGTGTTCCAAGGTCTCTCATTCTCAGCACATTTTCCAGTTTGGGGTGTGTATTTCTTATCTGCTGCAGGAGGAAGTACCTCTGATGATGGCTGAGCAAGACACTAATCTTGATTATGGCAGAATGCCAATAGGAGTCACTTTATTGCCATGATCTTTTAACAGAATAACAGGCTTTCCCGTAAGTTCAGTATCTGTCTATTCTCAGGTTACTGACCACTTCGGCAGTGTCGGGCACCCATCTCATGAAGTGGGTCTAAAATCCTTGCTTGTGCCGCTACTGCACCAGCACATGAGGCAGGCACGTTGCTCCTTCCAGTACAACGAACACTAATCAGTAAGGGTGGAAAAAGTTTTAGAATGTGCCATCTCTTTTTCTAGAAGCAAAGGAGTATTAAGTCCATTGGTTTCCCTTTCTCACTTCCAGTAGACTTATGACAGTTAAAATCCCTTTTCTAAAAGTGGAGCAAAGTATTAAAAATATTAAACTTACTGCCAATAAAATATTTTAGAATTTTTCTTTTAATTTTGTTGTAGAAAGAAGCACAAGAAGAAATGAAAAACCACAGTTGGATTAGAAAGAACTGGCTTCTTGTGGCTGGGGTGACTTTCGTAGGCGTCCATCTTGGAACTTACTTTATACAGAAAGCTGCGAAAGAGTCTGTGAGGTCTCAGTCCAGAGACAAAAGAATGTTGAAGAATGAAGCAAAATAAATACTTGGAATCGTTAATGTCATTAAGTTAATATATGCTGGTTATTGTTTGAAAGCCACATGATTTTGTAGCCGGAAGTACTGTACTTGCAGACTCACACCTGGAGAATAGTTTTTAGTGTGAAAACACATAGCAGTGCAACAGATGCAAAATGTGCACGAAATAAAGCTGCTTCAGCCACACCTGAAGCAGGAGGATGTCTCGTTTACAAGCTAAGAAGCCATCGTTGTGTAAAACTGAGCCTTTGACAAGTGAGAGAGTCAGGTCCACACTTTCTGTCTTGAAAGGAATCATAGCCTCATGCTACGGCCCTTCAGGGAGGCTGAAGCAGCTGCACAATGGCTTGGGAGGTTGTGTGTGCACAACCTCACAGTCCTCAGCCCTGCTTCGCAACCTTTCTGTCACCCATCCCATACTAAAGGTCCTAACAGCATCTGTGCAGAATCACGTGTCCTGCTTCAGTGACTCTGGCTTATTTACAGCCATTCTATGCTGCAACCTAATTGAAAATACTCAGAGATTAGGTTTGGAGCCCACGACTGTTATTAAGTTAAATAAATACCTCTTGAGTGTCTGCACCAGTTATCTGAAGTCTGAAGCCTGTAGTTGCCGAATCCCAGTTGACTTCAGTAATACACATACCCTTCTTGGCTTGGTACACACTATCTTAACAAGCAAACCTGCCTGTATGCTCACCAGAAATGAACTAGATCACATCGGTGCTCTGGTTTTGAAAGCTTTTTTGCTTACAGTTCCAGAAAGTGTAGAAGACCAAATCATTTTAGGGAAGAGTATAATTGTTCCCTTAAAGGGCCAAAGAGTTATAGATTCTACTGTATTACCTGGATTACTCATTGAAATGTCAGAAGTTCAAGTAAGGAGATTATTGCCCACCCAAAAGTCAAGTGCCCTCAAGGTGGCACTCTTCTGTGTCTCTTTATCAGGAGATTTTTCTAACTCTGGAGAAGGGACTGTGGTGGTCCCGTACCAAGTGTCCCTTGAGAATGCAGTTTTAGAGCAGTTGCTTAATCTAGGAAGGCAGCTAGTTGGTGACCATGTAGATCTTGTTCTGTGCCAAAAAGTTATACACCCATCTCTGAAACAGTTTCTTAGTGAGCATCACATTATTGCCATCGACAGAGTTGGAGTGGCTCTGATGGAACCCCTGAGCAAAGTGACAGGTAAAATGTTCATTTTAGCTTTTGCCCCTGAAGCTTAATGTATCGCCCTTCCTTTTTTAGGACAGAGGTTTAGCCTGTGTCACTTGGAAAACTTTAGAAGCCACCAACCTTACAGCATTGGCCTCATTTCTGGAGTCAAAAGTTTTCTAGAAAAGATCCCATTGCCCAGTTACTAAAAACAGAATGATGGTGGCCATTTTCTGTAGACTTTCCAAGTGTATATGTCCTAAATAGAACTCCCAAAGAAATAAATGGGGGGAAAAAAGACTTTGTCCACTCTTTTTCAAAATGAATTAGGTCCTTAGTGTGGGATTTTTAATTTCTAAGTAGGTTTTCAGAGATCCTGGACTTCCTAAAAAATAGATGCAATTTTTGTGTACCTTTTCCTGAAAATTCAAAATAGCTTTTAACAGATGTTCAGATATGTCTGTAAGATTGGGAATTAGCTCAGTGGTAGAGCATCTGCCTAACATTGGCATGGCTGGGTTTAATTCCTAGCAACACACACATTAAATGAATAAGTAATACCAGTCTGCCTTATTACATTTATTAACCTGGAAAGACCGGATCCTCTGTGAATGACATTATTTCTTCAGCAGGAATCCTTAGATTCCTAGACAGAATTTAGTTCATTCATTCATTCATTCATTCATGTTTATGTATGATTGCTTTATCTGCATGTACACTTGAATACCAGAAGAGGGCATCAAGTCACATTATAGGTGTGAGCCACTATGTGGTTGCTGAGAATTGAACTCGGGACCTCTGGAAGAGGAGACAGTGCTCTAACCACTGAGCCATCTCCAGCCCCCTAAGCAGTATAAAGTTGAGCCCAGCGCTGGCATGCATGCAACTGTCTATTGCTTGTGAATATGATCTGGGTAGCTGCTTGGAGCTCAAGCTGCTGTGACGTCTCTGTTGGAATGAACCCTAGCGTGGACCTGTGATCCGGAATAACCCTTTTCCCCATTAAGTTGCGTTTGATGGAGTACTTTGCCACAGCAATAGAAAGTTAACTGTGACAAGGTTCATAAGCAAAAAATAGTCCAAGCAAGCAAAGATGGCCATGTGGACATTTGTATTCCAAGCCAGCCAGGACTACCTAGCAAAATGCCATGCAGCGGGGAGGGAAGGAGGAAAGGGATTTCAGAAATCTAAGAAGATGCATTTTATAATTTTGTATTGTTATCTCTTATTTCATATTTTAAATGATAAGATTTGGTAGGGGCTTTTATTCTAGCTAGTAATTAATGTGTGTTGGTATTTATTCATTTTAAGGGTTCCATCTTTCCTTATACAGTTTATATTTTCTATACTTCACAAAAATAGGAGCAACTCCCGTCGGATCCCTAAACACACTAGTTCCTACTGCTTATGGAAGTGTGAAAAATTTGTGCTCTGCAAGATTTGGCTCCAAACATTTTTTTCATCTCATTCCTAATGAGGGGGCTGTGTGCAGCTTGCTTCTCTGCAGCAGAAATGACAGTGCCTGGGAGGAGTTGAAGGTAGGTGGACTCCCCAGGCCAAGAGCGGGGCCAAGTAGTTATGCAATAAGCACTGCAAGTTGAAGTCTCTGTTCTTTTTTTGGGTTTTTGCATGTTTCCATCATTTCCATAGTGATACACTAGACCTTGGTGTACAAGGTCCAGTCCCAGCACAAAGAGAAAAGAGAAGGGTCACGCTAATTTAACTGGCTGTTACAGTAAACATGGAATATGTTGTGCCATTTAACATTTCTGCTTTTTACAAGAAACCTGAAAGTTCTTGATGTGAAGTTTTTCTAAGTAATCTGAATTGCATTCAGTATCTAACCTTTTGACATCACGATACCACATTGCCATCGCCAGGTGTGTTGTGCTTCATTCATAGCTACCCTGGCAGGTACGTGTACCGTGCACCACGGTCGAACATGCCTGGCCTGTGTACTGCTGCCAATGTGTATAAATATTCACTCAGAAAGAGTTCCTAAGCATTACCCATCACCCACATCTTACTAAAGTTTGTCGTTTTCTTCAAGTTTCATATAAGGGAACTTACAAGATAAAAAATTAACCATGAGTTTAAAGGTTCAGGTTGCTTAAAGACTCGTCCTTAGTAAATCAATAATTTGCCTGTTTTTTACCTATTGCTTGGTGCTATAATTTCTAATACAACTTAAAATATACTTTATAGCATTTATACAGCTTACTTATTTAGACTTTGATTTTAATGGAAATACAAACAAACCTTGTTAATGCAGTGTTTGTTTTTATTTGTTTGTTTGTTTTGTTTTGTTGGCTTTTCAAGACAGGGTTTTCCTATGTAATGCTTTAGCTGTCCTGAACTCACTTTGTAGAACAGACTGGCCTTGAACTCACAGAGATCCACCTGCCTGCGCTTCTTGAGTGTTGGGATTAAAGGTGCGCACTACCATCCTGGCCTAATGAAGGTATTTTTAGACCATATGTTTGTGAGCAAACTAGATGGGGGAAAATACTAATCTAATTCCATGTAAGCAGACTCTTGTCTCTCTTCATTCTCTAGTCATTGAAAATGTTTATTAGTCACATTACAACTTTGATAAAATAGATTTTGTTCTTTGTAAATTAGAATCTGGACCTGTGCTCTACTGAGCTATCTGACTGAGGAAAGGCACTGACTACCAGGCCTGCCACCTGAGTGCAATTCCCAGGTCACATGGTAGAACAAGAGAATTGACTCCCATGACTGTCCTCTAACCTCCACACTTGTACCATAGCGTCTGTGCACTGACTACCTGCACACACAAAATGAATAAACAGAACTTTTTATAGGAAGAAGTCTGGGTACTTAACTATCAAACTGGATGCCTTGGGTTCAATTCCTGGATCCCACAAAGTGGAAATTGTGGTCCAACCTCTACTCATGTGTTCTGACATGGTCTTTCTCCAGGCGCACATACATGTCCACACACACAACTAAAAAATAAAAAATCTGCTGTGAAAGCATGGTATGGTTCATATAGCAGTGTTAGATCCTGATTTTTAATTTGCTTCCTCCTTAGCTCACATGTCAAACAGCAATGCACGTCTTGCACTTAACGATCAAGGAACCATGGGTTTTATTGGGAGGTGGCTGTACAGAAACACATTTGGCTGCATATGTCAGATACAAGGTAAGTTAGACATCCTCCTCACATTGGGATTTTTAGCAGTTTTTGTTTTGAGACAATGACCAAATCATAATGCCCTACGACCTTTGATACTTAACTTTTCAAAATTGAGATAATGCAGTTGAAAACATTTCAGGGAAGTAATACTTACAAATACAAAGTGCTACCTTGATTGTATTGATAACTCTGAATCTAATCCAGCAAACGATCGTGTTCTTTGAGCATTGTCTAACTTTAAGACATGTTGAAGCCTGCATTCTGATATTAAGAGCTCTGAAATTCTACAGCAGTGGCTGTTCCAATGCTCACAACAAAAGGGCTAAAGTTCTGAAAATGTAGAATACCTTCTGGGGCTCTAAGAGAACCAACTTCATTCGTTAAATGATCCCAAGGATCAGATTCCAAATTTTATTGTTTACTTAGTGTGTGCACATGTTCAACAGTGCGCGTGCACATGTGTGTTCAACATGCCAAGGCGCCTGTATGTGGAGGTCAGGGGACAGCTTCCATGTGTGCTCCAAGGATGAGACTCAGGTGATCGTCCGACTGACTGACAAGCCCTTTTACTCACTGACCCATCTCTCCAGACTATTACCACAATTTTTAAATGGATATCTGTGCCTGGTACATACCAACTCCACTAAATAGAACTTCTTGTTAGTCTCCATTTACTGATAATTGTTAGATGAGAGTGTAGTGCATTATAGGTCTGATTATTTATTTCATAAATCCGAGCCTACTTTGTTTGAAAATGAAAGCAAAAAGATAAACACGTTCTCCACATATTCGCAGTTGACAAGTTCCTGAGAAGCCTGCAGTGTGTCCAGTGGGTAACTAGGCAAAAAAACAGACAAGAAACATGTTTCTTTTGTTTTGTTTTGCTTTGCTCTGGTTTTCGAGACAGGGTTTCTCTTAGCTATCCTGGACTTGCTTTGTTGTTCAAGCTGGCTCAGACTTAGAGATCCACCTGCCTGCCTCTGCCTCTCCGAGTGCTGGGATTACAGATGTGCAACACACGCCCAGCTAATAAATATGTTTCTACAGGCATAATCCTATCAGCTTTCCCAGACCACTTCAAATGCATTGGAAGATAAAGCCAATTCCTGAAAAGTTATCAAAGTATGCTTTGTGAGAAGCAAAATACTGACCAATCTAATGATATTCAGTGAATAATGTACAAACAGGATTGAGTAAATAGAAAAACTGTTTTGGAGAAAAGAGGTATCTTGAATAGGCTTTTTAAGAAATAACATAGTATTGAAGGCATGGGGGGAAATGTATTATACAGATTATGCCATCTGTCTTTTAAACCTGGTTTCAAAAGAGAAGGATGAATACTGTTTACAAGTAGTAAGGATATGAGTTCTTTAACTGGCATTCAGTTCTTAGCTTACTTATTTAACAATTCTTTTATTTTGAGAATAATAATAACCTTTCCATGGATCTAGGAAGATTGTTCAGGGTAAAGTGTTTGCTGGGCCAGTAGTAGGACCTCAATCCTGTGCATTGGGAGGAAGAGACAAGAGAATCCCTGATGATCACTAGCCAGCCAGCAAGCATAAACAGCTTCCCATTCAATGAGAGACCTTGCCTCAAAAATGTGAAGTGGGGAACAAGAGACAAAGATATCTGACCTTGACCTTTGGCTTCCTCACATGAACATGTTCTCTCTCTCTCTTTCTCTCTCTCTCTCTGTGTGTGTGTGTGTGTGTGTGTGTGTGTGTGTGTGTCTGTCTGTCTGTCTGTCTGTCTCTTTCTAGCTCACTTTCTCTCCAGTGCCCCCTTCCCTTTCAGAGTCCTTACCAGAATAATTTAGAATGTTGGAACAAAAAGGTGTAAATACCATTTGAGCAAATTAAAGAATCTTCATTTTTTTAAACATTGAAGTGAAAATTACACGTCTCTAAATGAGGTTTTAATTGCAATTTTGCAATATAATTTTTAAACAGATCGTGGGGCTGGAGAGATGGCTCAGTAGTTAAGGGCACTGACTATTCTTCCAGAGGACCCAGGTTCAAATCCCAGCATCCACAATGTACCAAGTACTTCATTAAACTTTAATAATTTTGCCCTGTGTGCATGGTTTGTTTGTTTTTAAGTCCTATAATTCATGCATTGTCCTTTATATATTTAAGGAGGTGCCACCAGTCAGCCATTTAGAGTAAGCTGATGAAAGGGTTGATTCGTTCATTCTGCTTACATGACTGGAAATATACATTTTTACTCTGGCCAATCAGGTTAAGGGTTACAGCCTAGCAGGTTGACTCACAAGCCAACTAGCATTGCATACCTTGAGTAAATGAAGGTCAGTAACTTTATGAAAAAGGTTTTGATCAAGTGTCCTGTTTTTCTGAAGCATTTTGATATTAATTGATGTGTATGTTTTCACTGGTCTTCTTCCTCCTTAGGTTCATAATGAGGCAGAAGACGTTGTCAGAGATGATGGGTGTTCTCAGGCAGAGCTTCACATTGCTGCAGAAGCATTCTGCAGTGCTCTGGAGTCTGTTGCTGGCTCCTTGGAACATGATGGCGGTGACATCCTCATTGACACAAAGTATGGACACTTTTGGTCGTGTCCAGCAGATTCTGCTTCTTTCATTAACTGGACAGATGTGCTGTCACGATGTGGCTGTGGTTTGTACAACAGCCAGGAAGATCTCAGCTGGTCTTTCTTAAGAAGCGCTTACCATCCTTTTGCACCACAAACCTGCCTTCCTCAGGCAGTCGTGGACACAGCCAGCAACCTGACCATTGACTGTTTCACCACCAAGTTGAGTGGCCTACAGGTGGCTGTAGAGACAGCCAATTTGATTTTAGATCTTTCATATGTTGTTGAAGATAAAAACTAATATAGAGAATGGCATATTGATGTTATGAAACAAACTAGTTAAAGAAAAATGCTTAGCATATTGTTCTTACCAAAGGCCTATTCTGCATAGGTAGACAGATGATTTATAAAAATATACTTATTTCTGATCTTAGTCTATCAGTTCTCATCAGAAGTGGCTGCATTGTCAGGGTTCTAGGTTATCTCCATGAATAGTCCTTAGTTGGAGTATGAGTCTCTGGGAAGTTCCCTGTGTTCAAATTTTCTTGTTCTGTTGCTCTCCTTGTGGAGTTCCTGTCCTCTCCAGCTCTTACTATTTCCGACTTCTTACATAAAATTCCATTCACTCTGCCCGTCAGTTGGCCATCAGGCTCAGCATCTGCTTTCACAGTCTGCATGGCAGAAGCTTTCAGAGGCCCTCTGTGGCAGGTTCTGAGGTTGTTTCCTGTTTTCTTCTTCTGGCTTTCAGAGGCTCTCTGTAGCAGGTTCCTAGGTTGTTTCCTATTTTCTTTTTTCTTCTGATGTCCATCCTCTTTGCCTTTCAGGATGGGGATTGAGAATTTTTAGTTAGGGTCCTCTCTTTTGCTTAGTATGTTTAGATGTACAGATTTTAGTGGGTTTATTCTATGTTGTATGTTTATATGAGTGAGTATATACCATGTGTGTCTTTTTGCTTCTGGGACAACTCACTCAGGATGATCCTTTCCAGGTCCCACCATTTACCTGCAAATTTCATGATTTCCTTATTTTTCATTGCTAAGATCAGAAAGAAGGAGAGGAGGACCTCCCCAATCAGTGGACATGGGGAGGGGCATGCATGCAGAAAGGAGGGGGGGAGGGTGGGACCTGGAGGGGAGGAGAGAGGGGCTTATGGGGGGATACAAAATGAATAAAGTGTAATTAATAAAAATTAAATTTAAAAAACTGAAAATAAAAAAAAGTATACTTATATCCTTAAGGAAGGTATGGTTATTTAATAGAAATTTCTAGACTAGTAAAAATTCTTGATGACATTGCATCATCACCATCACCCACATTTGATGTCCTCACCACACATTTATGTTTGGAAGTTTGCAAATACTAAAGCTAGTGTGTCACCTAAGAATATGGGAATTGCCTTGTGCTGCTTCTCCAAGTTGCTCCCGTAAGGGTTGACCTTGAACCTTTCTCAGTGCCAGGATGGGAATCTTCACTTTGCATGATAAACATTGTTAGTTCCTACACATTTAGCTTTTTGTAAAACTTGTTTTTAATAAAATTGTTTGTGTTCCCTAAACTTGTATATAATGCTTACTAAGAAATACTGGAAATGCAGATGAGCATAGGTAACATGTTCTTGTAGTCTCAAATACTTGGGAGGTTCAGGCAGGAGCATGTTCAAACTGAGCTTGAGACCTGCCTAGCCAACACAGCATGAACCTGCTTTGTAGAAGACAAAGACAGGAAAGGAAGTAGAAGATAACACTTCTCTAACACTTAAAGAATATTATTCAAATCTTGATGGTAACATGGTAAGAGAAATCTTGATGAAAATAATTTCAGCGAAGCTCCTTCTGGCAGAAATAAATAGAAGAAAAAATAAATTAACCATAGGCATATTGTTGTGATTAAAAGTAAGATAGAGGAGCAAGAGAGATGGCTCAGCAGTTAATATCACCGGCTGCTCTTCCAGAGGACCGGGGTTCAGTTCCAAGCACAAACATGGCAGCCCCCAGCCTTCATTTCCAGGGAATCTTAACACCTTTTCTGATCTACAAAGACCAGGCAGGCATGTGGTGTACAGAGATCCATGCGGGCAAAACACTCATACATATAAAATAATAATAAAGTAAGATAGAGTTCTATGAAGTACTTTAGGAGTTACATCAGCCAACAGAGCAAGAACCCTTGTTAGCTACAAAAGAAAAAAAAATGAAGGGTGTGGGGAAGAGAGTACAGAAGAGAATGAAGTTAGTGACTGGCCTGGAACTTTTGTGGGCCTCACAGGACTCAAGAGTAGTAAACCAAAATGAGTCTAACATGGTTAACATCTTAATAATCAAAAGAAATTTGGAGTTGGAGCAGGAAAAAAGTAGAGAGCTAGAGCAAATGTATTAAAAGGCTTCTTTAGGCAAATACTTATTTGGTCTAATGGCTATCTTACTCATAATGTGTTAGAAGGTCTCTGTATGGTAGATATTTACGACAAATACTACACTATAATGAAATAGTTTGCACAAGGTACTTAGGTCATGCATTAATAGTTTCTTCTGATATAGCTATCTTTAAACTCACTAGTTTTCATAGATATTACCATGTTAAAAGAGAAGTATAATGTATTTCTCTACCAACCATCATATTTCATTTACTATTGAATCATCCTTTAGATGACTTGTAAATAAAATAACATTCTTTGACATCACATAAATCATGAAGGCTGTTGTGAAGGGTTTTCTGTATAAAATTTCAATTAAAGAAAGGCTTGTCAAAGCATCGCATTAAGGTCTTTCTGGTACTATCTGGGGAATAGTAAAAGAGGTTAAATAGGCCCCATAGATCATTTCAGCTAAGAAAGTCTCTTAATCTGAAGAAAGGGACAACTGAATATTTTTTGTCTTCATTTTTTTATGGAGTTAACATGTTTACATTTGCCAATAGTTGTAGGTCATAATCCTTATCAATCTTTGCTACTTATCTACAAAATTCAAACTTGGATGCTGCTAGCATATTATCACCATGTGTTTTGGATTATAAATTAATTTGTTCCTTTAGTAATAATTATTTCACAAAATAATTGTTATAATAGTTATTCACAAAATAATCCTTGGAGACTACTCCTGTGTGTAGATCAAGCTTTCTATTGAAGAAATGGTAAATACACTGGTATGCTGAGAACCAGGGAGTACAATTACCTGTGATAAACTATGAATTGGAGGTTTGATAATGTATTAAGACTATGCACAGAGGAAATAGAGATAATGACCATTCTAATTTTTTCCTATAGCTTTTTTTCTTGAAGTACTGTTATTTCATTTTGAAAATACGAATTGAGCTTTTTGTTTGCCAAGCACTGTGGTTAATATTAGAGGGAGGAGAATGAAAGAAACGTGATATTTGTTCACAGTTCTTTGTCTCAAGGAGCTAACCAGAAATGGATAGTTATTATTTTATAGAAAGATGTATTTTTATAGTTATTGTAAACATTATGGTTCTGTAATTATAGAAAATGTGGAAAATGTAAACCTGACAACACACAAAAAGAAAATAAAGCATAGTCCTTGCTTTCATGCTTTCTATGTAAGGTTTCCCCCCAAATACCTCTTGTATGGAGACCTAAGTTCCTAGAGTAGCAATCTCAGCACTGGGGTCTGGGGAAGTGTCTTTAACATGAGGAAGCTGCTCTTATCAATGCATTAATTCCTAGGTGGATACAAAAATAGCATGGCATTAGTATGAGGTGGTAGAAAACAGAACATGGCCTTGTTGGAGAAATTGAGTTACTGGAAGCATACCCTAGAAAAGGTGTATCTTGTCCCCTGCCGTTTTCTCCAGTTTCTCTTTCTGCTTCCTGTCTGTCGTGAAATAAACTGCACTTCTTTACATGTTCCTGGATATGTCCGGGTTTGCTTCAGAGCCACCGCCATGGGCACACTATCAGCTGAAACTGTCATCCAGAGTAGGTACTTTCTCCATGAGCCCAGCAGCAGCGCACATCTGTAATCTAAGCACCTGAAGACCTAGATAATACAATGGTGAGCTCTAGGCCAGGAGCCTGGGAGAAAAAGTAAGATCTTAGAACAAAACAAATTCCTTTTTTAAAGTTTTTATATCAGAATTTCATCGCAGTGATTAACTCATGTAATAGTTCCTGAGACTGCTAACTTTTTGGGGGGAAGAGGGTGGGTCAGGCCTGGTCCTCTACTTGAAGTTTTAGCTAGAGCGATCATACAACTAAAGGAGATGAGCAGGAAGAAGTATAGGCTTCATAAGCCCTTGTCCTATTTATGACTGTCTTTTGCCAAATGCAGTCTTGTGTGAGCCGGGTACAAGCAGTCAAAGCTGCTGTGATTTCAGGCTTGTGATAGCTGTGTGTGCCCAGAAGATAGCATTTCACTGCCCTTCTCCCGGCCTTCCAGGTCTTACATTCTTTTAATTTTTAAAAACATGTATGTACTTATGTATCTCTGTGTGGATGTGTGCATATGTGTACAGGTACCCAAGGCACCAGTTGTAGGCAGTTATAAGCTGCCTGGTATGAGTGCTGAGGATCTAACGTGGGTCTTCTGCAAGAGGCGCGCCTGCTCTTAATTACTAAATTGTCTCTCGAGACATTTTGTCGGCCTTTTCTTCCATGATAGTCCCTAAGTTTTAGAAGGAATGGTAGAACTATACTCTTTAGGGTTGAGCAGACAGCCATCCATTTTTCTCAGCATGCTGATTAATCATAGTGTCTGCATTTGCTGCCATTCTTTGTAAAGAGAAGCCTTGGTGATAAAGGCTGGGTAGCATTTGTCTATGGGTATAATCGTAGAAGAGATGGCTCAGTGGTTAAGAGCATTGGCTGTTCCTCCAAAGGACCTAGGTCAATTCACAGCACCCTTATAATGCCTCACTAACGTCTATAACTCCACTCCTGGGAAATCTGATGCCCTTTTAAGGCCTCAGAGGATACTGCACACATGTGGCAGACAAGCAAGCACATGTGGCATGCAGGCAAAACAACCAGACTCATAAAAGAAATACATTTTTGTAAAGCAAAGTTGTTTGTAAGGCAGCTCAAAAGCATACCAGTCTGGGTAAATAACAGTGGTAAGTTCTCTCCTTGGACACTCAAGTCATGAGGTTTTTTTTGGGCCTAGAGGAACAGGCATGGAATCCATCCGGTGAAGTAGGCCTAAAAGCCAGAGTTTCTCCCATTATAGTCATGCTACTATTACATAAGTGGGCATGTTTATCTGTTAGTTTGGTTCACAGTTGGGTAAGACCACTGGTACCTTTTTTCCCCCAGCAGGCTGGATGGCACCTTCTGGCATTATAAAAACTAGACAGCATGGTGGAAGCTTCTATATACCTTTGTTGCAAAATACATATTTTAAAATCTGTAATTAGGGTTCTTATGTAAAAGCATAATTTCTAATCCTCACCACATATTAGAATCATCTGCTATCTTTAAAAATTCACATACAAGCAGCTCTCAGAAAATTCAACTCTCTAAAGATAAAACACAGTTCTCATTCCAATATGCAATTAACATAGAAAATGATTGGCCTGTAATTTTATTTAGTTACCATATCTTCTGCATGCACCATGCTCTGTTTACCCAAGCTTTAAGTTCATAGTCTTGAAAGTTCAAGTAAACTAACAGATGAGTTCTTGTTGAGGAAAGGCTTATTTTACCCTTCTCCCATCTTGCTATGTGGTCAGACTGGCCTTCAACCTGCTAGGCTTACAGACATAACACTTCTTTTTTAATTGCTATACACAAGGGACTTTAAGTGTAAGCAGACAAGCTCCATTCAGACCATTATTCTATATTTTTCAGTCATTTGACAGAAGCATATCAACTGTACTGGAAACAGTTTCTCTCCTTTTTGAAAAAAGAAAGTCTTTAATTGTTCTTAACTACGTATATGTGTGTTTGTGTGGAAGGTACAACTGTGTTTCAGTGCAGACACTTGTGCAGTCCAAAAGTGTTGGATGCCCCTGGTGCTAGAACGCTCCGGCAGCTGTGAGCTGCCCAGTGTGGATGCTGGGACTCAAACTGTACAAAAGCAGTATGTATCTCCTGAGCCATTTCCCTGGTTCCTCGAGCTGGCTTATTATCACCTGTTTCCAATACATCAATGTTGGTGAACCAGAAATTTGCCATGAAGAGCTGAGAAAGTATTCCAATGGTACAAAAGCTGGTAAAAAGCTGGGTTTGACCCCAGCACTGAACAGACACTTGCCATGATCTTCACTCTCTCTTTCCTCCAGATCAGGTGGGATTCTATCCAGCTTCTGATGAGAACAGGAATTAAAAACTGACCAGGTCAGGCAAGGACCCCAAAGCATCAGTTCCAACAGTATCCTTTCTGGTGGCAGCAATGCCAGGAAAGAGCTCTTTCTTTGTTATCTCCTAAATAAGGCTATTGTGACCTGTGACTGACCCTGGACACCTTTGGGCCAACTGAATGGACCATACCTCACCCTAGTCGCTGCCAGTAAGTCCTCCAAAAATCACAGACTACAAGCTTGATGGAACCCTATTTCCTGAGGACCAATCCCAGCGCCACCACCTCTATTCTAGACCTCTTC